GTTGTCACCACCTGTGTAGAGTGAGGATTTTTATTTTTGTGCTACTGTTTAGCATGATCTCATGAAATATAATAGAAAATAAGGGAAAACTTACCTGTTTATTAAGCAGCCTTGCTTGACTGGGATGTAAACATCGATTGATTTTCCTCCTTTTTTATGCCACCATCAGCACTCAGGGGCACTGTTGATATTAGAACAGTAGGAGGATCTTAATGATATTGCTCCAAATTCATAAGTTTTCACTTCTCTTTTTTTGAGACAAGATCTCACTCTGTTGCCCGTGCTGGAGTACCGTGGCACCACAGCTCACTACAGCCTCTCGACCTCCCAGGCTCAGGTGATCTTGCCACCTCAGGCCCCCAAGTACTGGGACTACAAGCGTGTGACGCCGCTCCCAGCTAATTTTTCGTATGTTTTTGTAGAGACAGGGTTTCACTATGTTGCCTGGGCTGGTCCTGAACGTCTAAACTCAAAGGCTGCAACCACCTTGGCCCCCTGTAGTGCTGGGATTACATGTGTGAGCCTCACTTACTTCTGGTTATTAAGACAGAATTGTTCCACTTCTTAGTCTGATGTTGTTTCTGTCCGAATTTTTTCTCATGACTGCCTATTCACGCTGCTGTTTGATTCTTGGGATATGTTTTAAATGATGGGTAGATTCACTTCCCCTAAACCATCCTCCTTATGAGCAGCCGTTATTCTGCTCTGCCAGTAAATTAATTGACTCATGATTCTGCATGTTGGGGCTTGTTGTGGATACAGACCATATTCTGAAACGTCCTCAGAGGTCGATGATTGTGTTTGCTTCTGCTGGGGGATGGGTGTTTGCCCTCAGCTTGTTTGCAACACCACATTTCCTCAAAGGAAACGTATTAACCAACGGCTATCTTCAAGCCAATGTAAGAGTCTTGATTCAAGAAACAACCTACCAGTCAATCTATGTCTAGGCTTTTCTCCCTCTCTTTGAAAGTGCCAGTGTTCTCTCTTTAACTGTCTTGAACTCATTTTTCTTGCCAGAACACATCATTTTGTCTCCTTTACTTTTCCATAGGCAGGTTTTTTTTTTTAATTTGTCGGCTAACTTCTTATCACATATCCCTGCTTGACAACCTTAAGCAATTTGTTGGATACCCTTGACTTGAGGCCCATCAATATGTCATACTTTGGGATTGGCAGAAGAAATGTTCAGAAGCATATTTTCCATAAATGATAGTGACAAATGCCAAGCACTTGCTTCATGTAGTCTCATTCGGTTCTCACGGGGACTTTATAGGTCAGTGGGATTGCGCCCGTTTAAGGAAACTGATACAACTGAGGTGCAGAGAGACGAGAGTGACTTTCCCAGAGGCACACAGCTAGTGAGTGGTAAAGCCAGTGGATAAGTCAGTCCCTGAAATCCATGTTTTCCAGTAGGATCCCAAGCTAATTGGGAGATAAAAATTAGTCCCCTTGCCTAGCTAGAGGGGTTTACTGGTTAAAGCAAGAGTAAGAAGCAGACCTTACCTTTTAGTTTTGTAAATTAGGAGTGTATCATGGGTCTCACTGAAACTAAAAAAATTGTCAGCAGGGCTGCATTCCTTTCTGGAGGCTTAGGGGAGAATCCCTTTCCCTGCCCTTTGCCACTCACATTCCTTAGCTTATGGCCCTCATCCATCTTCAGAGCCATCAATGGCAGTGGAGTCCTCACCTGTCATCATGCTGACATTGACTCTTCTGCCTCCATCTTCCACATGTGAGGACTCATGTGAAGACATGCCACACACCTAGTTAATCCAGAATAACCTTTCTATTTTAAAGTCAGCTTGTTAGCAACCTTAATTCCATTTGCTCTCTTAGTTCCCCTTTGCCATCTAAAGTAATATACTCATAAGTTCTAAAGGTTAGCATGTGGACATCTTTGGAGGGGCCATTATTTGAAATCTAAAATGGAGATGTTATTGCATCATCATCTATTGGGAGGTAGCCACTGGAAGTTTTTGCAGCCTTGTTTTTATATTTAAGCAAGGGTGTAAATGTGTGTCTTAGTCTGTTCAGGTTGATATAATGGAATACCATAGACTGGGTAGCTTCTAAAAAACAGAAATTTCTCATAGTCCTGGAGGCTGGGAAGTTGCCAGCAGATTTGGTGTCTGGTGAGGACTCTCTTTCTCACAGATGGCACCTTCTCATTGTGTCCTTACATGGTGGTAGAAGGACGACCTAGCTCTCTGGGATCTCTTTTATAAGATAAGGGGTCTGATCCCAATCATGAGAGAGCTGCCTAATCACCTCCAAAAGGCTCCATCTCCTAATACCATCACACCTTGGAAGTTTGGATTTCAGCATAGGAATTTTGGGAGGACACAAAACTTCAGACTGTAGCAATAGGGATGTTGCTAATACCTCATGAAGAAAGAACTTGAAGAAGCTCAGTAATTTGCCCAGGACCACACAAAAATTCATTTGAATCCAGGGACAAAACTATGTTTCCTGTGTTTTCTCCGTGTCACTCAGAAAATTCAGCGTGTCACTGAATTCTCCGTGTCACTCAGAAAATTCAGCGTGTCACTGAATTCTCCGTGTCACTCAGAAAATGAGGGAGAAATATGATTCTTAATATAGAAGAGCTGTTTTGGCTGGAACTTGGAAGTGAACAGGCAGGCTTAATTGGGCAACAGTCCCCATTTTGTGGGGTGTGACTGGCAGACTTATTCCAGGCTTCTTGCTAAGTTGTAAAACTTCTGATTTCTCTGATAGAGACCTTCAGAAGGAGGACTGGTGCTATTAAAGTTATACACATTTCATTCTAGAATTTCTTTTGAGGGCATCATCCACTCCCCTCAGCTGTGATTGTAAACCCCATTGCTCTTGGTCAGAATTTCATTCAGCATTAACAATGACACATCCTGTTATGCTGTGCAGGTGTGTTGCTGTTTATAGGAATTTAAGTTTAGATCATTAAACGTTTCAATACTGGATGTATTGACAATTAAGTTGATGACGCAGAAAACTGCAAATAGGTGGGCAAACTATAAGAGGTATTCCTCATTTGCACATTCCCTTCTAGTGTCTTGATAGTATAGCCCAAAAATGGTTTTAAGGCCTTGCTTCTTCCCCAGAGCTAAACTCTTTGCTTGCACCTTACAAAGTTGAGTGTTGTGAGGCCCCATCTGGTGCTGACTCCAATTCTGTCTCTAGCCCAGACCCACACTTGTGAGCTGCTATGAGTTATCTGGACATCTTGGTTGACTTAATCTTCCTAACATCCTTGTAAATAGGTGGATGAATACTATGTTTTACAATTGGAAAATGAAGACTCAAAAAGATATGACAATTTGGTTTAAGTCCACATAGCTAGTAGTTAGGGAGCTTTGTTGAGAAAGAAAAATGCATGAGAGGAAATTAAGACTGTAGTTAATAATTATCAGGTGCATGTTAACGTTGCATGAAGTTTAACATAAATACATGTTATTCTTAATGTTAAAAAGTTCAAAACAAAGGCGGGGGTTCCAAGGCAAGTGGGTGGGGATAGACAAGAGATGGGCAGAGGTAGATGAGATGTGAGTGTTATGGTGTGGAAGTCAGTTGGAGTATAGCCACTGGAGGCTTTTGTGGCCCTGTTTTCATATCATAGTTATAAGTGGGGATGTTGCTAATGCTTGACTCATCAAAGGCTGAAACAAAGCCAGAGCTGAAGTTGAGTACGTGGCACTGTTTTATTGGTTAATCTTTCAAAAAGAGAAAAGCCTCTGTTTATACAGGCTGAAACAGTCATTTGACCTGTTCTTCAACTCCATCTGGAATTGCTTTGGGGTTAACTTAGCATTTCCCCTACAGCACATATGACAGAGGGTTGGGAGGAGCTCGGATGGGGTTTTCATTCCTCCAGAGCACTGAAGCCTTATTTCTGAGTGAGGTGGCCTTGGTGCCAGCTAATGCCACTGTTTAGTGTGTGATGGACTAGAAGTAACAGGTTAATTTTGGCCAGTAGACATGCCAGCTGTGTAAACGGAACCAGCGAAACTATTTCTCAGTGCTGCCTCCCACCCCTGGAAGAGGACATCATGTTATCTACCTGCCCCTGTTGGCTTCCCTTGACCCATCTTTCCCATGCTGTCCGCTCCTCCCTGTGTTACTCATCAGTTCAAATTTAAAATAATTGAATGCACAGAGAAAGTGGCTTGTTCTGAAAACTTCTGACAAGAAATTTCCAGGTGACTTGGTGCTAGATTAATTTTAGCCTCTCTTATGGATTCACAACTGTTTTGCTATAGGACTTGAACTAAGACACTTTAGAATTAATTACGGCTGGGAAAAAAAACAATCTAAATGAGGCAGCAAACAGATTCCTAAATATGGAGCAAGACAAGTGGCTGTTTATTTCAGTGGGTCACTGGCACGAAACAGTGTAGTTGGCGTTACAGGCAGGAATTACTCTTAGAGACTTGGGAATTAAATGCAAGGTAAGTACTTGTCTGGACCCTGAAACTAACAAAGCAACTGTTTAAAAACAAATTTTCTTAAGACATTGGGGAAATTTGCATCTGCTCTGAGTCAAAGCCTGAGATCTGTGTCTGTGAAAAAGCTAATAGAGGAAGCAAGTTGGACAAAATTGAAGAAATTGTTAATCTGGGTGATGTGTATATGGTGTTAACTATATGATTTTCCACATCTGTGATGATGAAACATTTTCGTATTGACTTCTTAAGTGTTTTACCTGGCCTTTCTGAGCCCACAGTTGAGTTGCACCTGCAATCCAAAGTGGTTTCCCCATCACGGCTGCCAGACCACAGACACTTTAATTCTTGTTGTGCGGTGTGTTGCTGTCAGCCCAGAGCCAAAAAAGCTGAATACCACCCTGAAGCTTTTGTAAACAATTGTCTTCAGCTTATCCAGAGGAATTGAGTCTAGAGTAAAGACCAAAATATTGACCTAGATAAAGTTGACTCACCAGCCCTTGGAGGATGGAAAGATGGCCTTAAAATAAAACAAACAAAAACCTTTTTTGCTTTATTTTGTAGGACCACTATGAGACCTCAGTCCTTCTATGATGGAAGTCATTCTTGTGCCAGAGGAGTGTGCCATATTCCAATGGCTGAGCCGTTTTGCCCCAAAACGAGAGAGGTGTGTAGTCTTTCTGCGAAGTGTACCAGAATAAATCATATGGGCTTGGGGTGGCATCTGGTTAATTGGCAGAGCAGGTGGCCCCATACCCTCACTCAAGTTTGCTTTATATTATGCAAAGTTTTATGAAGAGTTATTTCCTGTTGCTCATAATGCCTCTGTTACTCTCATTTTAAGCTAAACCACTCAAAGTTGCAACGTACCTTTTTAATAAGTTTTGATTTTGCTATCTGGATAAGTTTTAAATGATTTAACATAGAATATCACATTACTCAAGAGTATGCAGTCTGGAGCCAGATTACTTGGGATCAAATCTCTGCTCTTCAACAAAGTAGCTGTGTCCAAGAGGACAAATTATTTGACATCTGTGGGTTTCAGTTATCTTCTAAAATGAAGATAATTATAGCATGTACCTTATAAGACTGTGTGAGGGATGAGAGAGTTAATACTTAATAAAGTCTCTGAACCATGCCTGTCAGTTGTGGAACATCCAATGGCTGGTAACTGCTTTTATGAATTAAATTACTGTTATTGATCTTCTAAAAATGGTCAGATTGGCAGCTGTTGCCTTTGACCTGAGTTTGGTCATTACTGCCCAGCCTTCTGTCTACCATTATAGCCAAATCAGAACTATGGGGACAGCCCCACAAGGGCCAGTGGTGGTATAAGGTGTGGAATCATAGTTTTAGTTCCCAAGGAACAAAAATGGCTACCATGACTAAGAAGTCCGTGGCTTGGTCCACATGTGCTACTTCTCTTATAATCCCAGGTTTGAAAGTCAGGTACAACTCAAAAGATCAGAAGTATTGTTAGAGATTAACTGCTTCAAAAAATCTCCCTTATAAGTTAACTTAGAGAATATAAATACCTAAACATGTTAGTCATTCAGATAATGTTAACACCTGCATATAGAGAGGAGATGATTTCTTTTAGCATTTATGTTTTATCCTACATAATCACAGAAAACCCATTTCCTTATAATTAACAGCAAGGGCACCTAAACTGAGGACACAGGGATGGGAGAAATATTTCTAGTCTCAAACAAGAATTTGGAATATAAAACTGAGTACTGAGTGAAGCCATTTCAGAGTTACCACTGCTCATGGATTTTCTCTGACTTTTAGGAAAGTATGTTTTTTACTTGTTTTTTTTTTAAAAAAAAGTGGCAGGCAAAGTTTGTATATGTATATATAGCATGTTTCTGGATAGTTATCCACAGAATGTATCAGAATGCTGCTAGTCTTCCTCTGAAGCACAGATCAGTCCACATAATAAATTTGCTATCCTGGGGGAAATGGAGTATGGATAAAATTCTTGTCCACTTCAAAATGGGGGCAGCTTGGGAAGAAAAAGTCTAAGGAGACAGTATGCATGCTGGTATGAATCTGAGTCAGTTCTCAGGCAAAATACAGTGATTTGGGGAACTAGGAGTAGAGGTAGGTGGGGGAAGCACAATGGAACTATAGAGAGCACATGTAAATGTGAGTCTGTGGTGATAATTTCCAGTAATCCAAGTTAGCCTCCCTTGAAGCCAAATTAATTCAGCTAAAGAACCCTACATAAAGACTGAGAGAATACTGGGGAAGACAATTTAAAAAAATGGCAAAATAAGCATTCAGAAAGAAATTTTTAAATATTGTCCAAAAACATGAAGAGTAAATAGTGCTGCCAGTTGGTAATTTTCACTTTTAACATCCACATGATCTTTCATGTACTGATGGAATAGGACTGTCATGATGAATTGTCAAGTGGCAAGTAAGATACTCAGTGATTGTACCATATTCTACCATTTATGTTAAAGTATGTATATATACAAAGAAGTAAGTATGTAAATATTTATATGCAAATAAAATATTTTTGGAAAGTTAACCAAAAAAGCTGGTAACAGGAAATGGGGAAGATGGCAGATAAGAGACAGGGCTGGCCACCACGGTGGCTCACGCCTGTGATCCCAGCACTTTGGGAGGCCAAGGCAGGCAGATCACGAAGTCAGGAAATCAAGAACTTCCTGGCTAACATGGTGAAACCCTGTCTCTACTAAAAATACGAAAAATTAGCCAGGCATGGTGGCAGGCGCCTATAGTCCCAGCTACTTGGGAGGCTGAGGCAGGAGAATCGCTTGAACCCGGGAGGCAGAGGTTGCGGTGAGCCAAGATCATGCCACTGCACTCCAGCCTGGGTGACAGAAACTCCAACTCCCTTTCAAAAAAAAAAAGACAAGACAGGGCTAATATGCAGCTCCACATGGATGGAAAAAAAAACATATAGAGACACTATGATCTTCTGTTCCAAGAGCCAGGAACTTACCAGGAAAACCAAAAGAATTCAAAGATCCTTTGAAAGAAGTGGCACACCACTGCAAATTCTACAAAACAGGCAAAAAAACTGAGTTCCCAAAGTGTGAGTCGGGGAGAACCTACCTCTGAATACACATCCCCACTGGGGAAATCTAAAAATCCAGATCATGGAAGAAGAATTTAACCTTACCTAAAGATGAAACGGATTTAGGGGGTTATGTGAAATATGAAAGTAGAAGTAGCAGCGGGAAGTGCTTTGGATGTACTCCTAGTCTCCAGCTTGAGTCCAGGGAAGCCAACCCTGACTATATCTCACAATGGCCCTCAGGAAAGGCAGCCAGTGGAGTTGGAGAGTGGTGGCAGGGCAAAGGAAGCTCCCAAATGAAATCAGTAGTGGTTTCAGCTGGGCACAAATTTTCTTGGGCAGAGTCCAGGGGACTAGTGGGAGCCGTGGCAGATACAAGTGAGTACGGGAGCTGCTGCCAATGGAGTGGGCAGACAGGAAGGGGTGAGGTCCAAAGGCCATGCTTGCTTTCCCAGTGGGGTAACTCACATCCTGGGGCAAGGTCTAAGCAGGGCACTGCAGGAGTGAAACTAGCCTCACCAATTGCATAGTAGCTGGATGAGGCCTCTTGCTGCTGGCTATCCCCCATTACCCTGGTGAAGTTTATGATACAGCAGAGGCAGTCAAGATCCCCTCTGGAACATAAACCCAGTGGCCTGACAAACCATCCCCAACCCTTAATTTCCCACAGTGGCTGCAGCAAGCCTTGACCAAGAAGAGTCTGAGCCCAGAACCACCTAACCCTGCACCCACCTGATAATATTTCCCTACCCACCCTGGAAGCCAAACACAAAACATAGAAACTCTTTGGAGCTTTATTGCCCTGTCTATTGCCTGAGAAACCAAAATAGTTACCTTGGGCATCTTAGGGCAAGCTTAGAGCCCACTGCAACTACTGCAGCTGGTGCCCTCTTGAAAACACCACCTCCTGGCTGGCTGTCAACTCAGGCCATTACAGCAACTCGTGAAAGAATAACCGTGATCCCAGGACAGAAGAGACAACACCTAATTTCACTGCCTGCAACATCCTAGCTAACCAGAGATCCTGAATGTGTCCACATGACAACTTCACTGCTAGCATAAGCAGCATTCAAGAGAGCCAGCACACTAAATATACCTACAACCAATGAGTCTTGCAGTTTACTTCACTTCCCTGCCACCTCTACCAGAACAGGTGCTGGTAGCCACAGCTTGGAGACCTGAAGATGGATCACATCACAGTACTCATTGCAGACATCCCCCAGCACCAGTCCAGAGCCTGGTAGCCTCAATGGGTGGCTAAACCCAGAAGAGCAGTAACAGTCACTGCAGTCCAGCTCTCAGGAAGCCCCATCCCTAGGGGAAAGGGGAGAGCCCACATCAAGGGATCACCCCATGGGACAAGAAAATCTGAACAGCAGGCCTTGAGTTTCAGCCTCTCCACTGAAATAGTCTACCAAAATGACAAGGAACCAGAAAAGCAATTCTGGTAATATGACAAAATGGGATTCTGTAACATCCTCAAAAGATCACACCAGCTCCCTAGCAAGGGATCCAAACCAAGAAGAAATCTCTGAATTGCCAGATAAGGAATTCAGAAGGTTGGTTATTAAGCTACTCAAGGAAATAGCAGAGAAAGGTGAAAACCAGCATAAAGAAATTTTAAAAAACAATACAGGATATGGATGAAAACTTCTCCAGAGAAATATAAAGAAAAAATAAATCACAGCTTTAGGAAATGAAAGACACACTTAGAGAAATACAAAATGCAGTGGAAAGCTTCAACAACAGACTAGAACAAGTAGAAGAAAGAACTTCAGAGCTTGAAGACAAGGCTCTTGAATTAACTGAATCAGACAAAGAAAAAGAATTTTAAAATGAATAAAGCCTTCAAGAAATTTGGGTTTATGTTAAACGGCAAAACCTAAGAATAATTGATACTCCTGCAGAAGAAGAGAAATCTAAAAGTTTGGAAAACTTATTTGAGGAAAACTTTGTTGGCCTTGCTAAAGATCTTGACATCCAAATACAAGAAGATCAAAGAACACCTGAGAAATTTATTGCAAAAAGATAATCAGCTAGGCACATATTTATCAGGCTATCTAAAGTCAAGATGAAAGAATTTTAAGAGCTGTGAGACAAGAACATCAGATAACCTATAAAGGAAAACATATCAGGTTAATAGCAGATTTCTCACAGAAATCTTAGAAGCCAGAAGCCAGAAGGGATTGGAGTCCCATTTTTAACCTCTTGAAACAAAATTATTCTCAGCCAAGAATTTTGTATCCAGTAAAACTAAGCTTCATAAGCTTCATAATTGAAGGAGAGATAGTCTTTTTCAGACAAAAAAAATGCTGAGAGAATTTGCCACTATTGAGCCAGCACTACAGGAAATGCTTAAGGGAGTTCTAAATCTTGAAACAAAACCTCAGAATACACCAAAATAGAACCTCATTGAATCATAAATCTCACAAGACCTATAAAACAATAATACAATGGCAAAAGAACAACATCTTTGGGCAAAAACTAGCATGATGGATAGAACAGTACCTCACATCCCAATACTGATGTCGAATATAAATGACCTAAATGCTCCACTTACAAAAAGGTACGCAATGGCAGAATGGATAAAAATCTACCAACTAAGTATCTGCATTCTT